GGAGTTCTTGGTCTTTGTTTTGCTGAAAGAAAATAAAAGAGTAAAAAAAGGACAAGTTTTAAAAATTCAAAAAAAATGAAGGTGCAGCCCTAAAATCATCACGATTTTTATAAATGCAGCACTGGAGGCTATGAAAACACGCTTTCTTTTCTGAGTACTAATCCAACACATATGCTCTTTGAGAAGGAAGGAAAAAGGCCAATGGCGCCATTTAACAAATCATTTTAAAATGTGCTTATTTTCAGAGACTGTGCATGCAAATTCATAACTCATTCATTTGCCACTTATTTTGAAAATATTTACCCTGGTCTCATAAATATATCTCAGAATTAAAAATTCCTTAGATGACACAAAGACTGATAATTTTTTAAAAAGGTTTTTATAAAGCTAAGTTGTAAAAAATAATTTTTTGGAGGTCACATCCTCAGTAATCTAAAATGGAGTTTTATCATAATTTGAAAATATCTGGTTTTCTAATAATTGTTACCTTTCTGGCAAAGCCCCCCCCCTAAAAGGAATATGATTAACAACGGGATAGAAATCAAATTTTATATTCTTAAACTTTGTTATTTATAAACATCATTCTGGGCTCCCACGTGAGCTTCAGGCTGCATATCCAAACAATTCCTACTTAAACATAAAAGAACCAATAACTAATTTGCGAGATCCTCATCTTCTTTATCGCTTAAATAAAATCTGAATGTTGGCTTTACATTAAGACAGCATGATCAAATGTAGGACATTAGGAATAGCAGCTTTGGCACCAATATTTAATTCACTGAATAATTAGCAGCCTCATTGGTATTTCTACTTTGATTCCCAAAGTACAATATTAGCTGTCCTGTGCACTCAGGATCTCTGCAGTAAAATGGGCTAATAAACTTCCTGTGCCAAGTTCACAGTAAATGAAGGGGTACAGAGCATTGTGCAAGCAGCTCATGACTTAAGACACCAGATTTACTTCCAAAACATGGGCACAGAACTAGAAAAAAAAAATCTACCCAATTTTATTGTTTTCTTTCCCACATTCATTAATTTTGCTTTTGGAATTGCTGGGAGAGGAATGAATGTAAAATTCTAAGAAAAGGGAAAAGGGAAGCGGAGGCAGAATGACAGCAGACAGAGGGACTAGCTGGAATGAGAGATGATACAGAGAGTGATGAAAGCCGTGGGGGTGGGGCCGCAGGCGGAGGGCTGCAGCCAGGAGAGGGGCCAGGGAGCAAACTCAGCTTGTGGGTGCACCCTGCGCCCTGAGGCCTATAGCCTGCTCCTTCACTCCTCCACCGGGCAACTCCTTAGACTCCCCAGCACATCCGCCAGCCATTTACACAGTCCCAGTGGGCAATCCTGCAAAATGTGGGAGGGATGTTTGCCAGATGTGTGACCTTGAGCAAGTCCACTAAAGGGGCCAATATTTACACAGCTCCATGAGACACACACACACACACACACACACACACACACATACTGTATTTTTTTTCTATGCGAATGGAGCCCCCTTTAGCCAGGAATCGGTACCTCATAATCCTCCAAAGGTTGATTGTCTTTATTTACAAAATCAGGGTTGGACAAAACGGTAAGCAGTTTTGTAGACAGAAAGGCTCCATAAGGGAGAAATTTCCACAGTCCAGGAATGGGTCTAGGAGATTCTGAATAACAACAACAAAGAGCCACAGTGTACGTGGAGTGTGCCCTCACACCCAGCGTGTCCACCGGGCCCACCCCATACCTTTTCCTGTGAGACCATACCTACCAATAAAAGTAAATGAGAAAATGGGGTTCACTTCACAGCCAGCTTTGCGGCAGTGGGATTCCTGTCTGTCCTGGACTGCAGTCCAGGTTTAGTACCTAGATGGAAATCATGTGACATTACTGAATGCCTGGTATCCACCCATGGTGCTAAGGACTTTTTACAAAGTACTATACTTATTCATTAGTTTTTATTTATCTCGATTTGACATTCATTCTTTTTAAAATATTTTTTTCAAATGGTGGTAAAATGCATACAACATAAAGCTCCCTGGACGCAGACGGGCCCTGGAGGGGTGAGACCTTGGGCCCGGCAGCTGTCTGCAGCTGAGGCAGATGCTGAAGGAGGAGCTGATGGCTGGAGGCTGGCGCTGACCGCACTGTCCCCCACATGGTGAGTGGGGGTTCTCCGGGAACTGAGTGGCGCATTTCTGTGCCCACTACCTCCTCAGAGCAACTCTGAGTTAGGTATTATTATTCTTATAGTTGAAGAAACTGATTCTCAGAGAGAAAAAATGACTTAACCCAATAATGGTAAAAGCCAGGATCAGAACCTAAGTGTCTGATGGAGGGAAGACTCACTTCTGAATTTTAATGAACACACTTCTTGCAAGCTCTTGCTGTGCTGAGGTGAGAGATGAGCAGGAGAAGGATTGGAGACGAATGGCAAAGTCCAATATTCAGGGGGGTCTGCACTGTTTGGGGGATATACATAAAAAAGTACTACAATGGAAATCTGCTCCAGTGCAATGGAAAGATGGGGGTGAGCCAGCAAATTGTCTCTGAGAAGTTGGGGAGACCTCACAGAAGTGGCCTTCAATGTAGGTCTTGAAGAGTGGTTCTGAGTTTGTTGGGTGAGGTGGAGAGGAAAGGGTTACAGCCTGTACAGAGGCTTGCAAAGGAGGTGCTGCAGCCAGGCACAGTCCAGCGGCATGTGGCGGGGACCCCTTGAGAGAGGTGATGCGAAACCAGCGTGGAAATGCTGGCAGGGCTCCTAGCGGCTGGGGCTCCCTCACAGCAGACCTGGAGAAGCATCACAGCGCTCCTCTGGAAACTGTGGCATGAGTTCCAGTCCCCAGAAATCGATGGAGGAAACGGATGTGTCTCCTTTCCTCATTTGGGAGTTTGGAAACGCAGTTTCCCAAGAGAATCTAAGCCAGAAGTTCATGTTGGTTTTTATATTCTTCCTTGCATGGAACTCAAAACAGCCTATTAAAGGAAATTAAGCCAGACGCCTAGAGTGTGTAGTCTTCTGAAGGAACTCTCCACGACAAAGCTATCTGAGTGGAATGGTCATTTTTCTCTTGATTTTTTTACTGTATCTGGATAACTTAGGCAATATGATTTACTGCTTAAAAACAAACACAGCCAAACCAGCTATTAGCATTATGTAGAACAAAAAGTCCAGTTTCTTTTCACTGAATTTCTCCCGTTTAGCTAGATATTTTAATATCACAATACAGTTGGTGTTTGGTCTCCCTTGCTTTTCATAAGATGGAGGTTTTCCAGTGTATCAGCTTTCTTATTTATGTAATGAAGGGAATCTTGAAATGTCCTTCCAGGGTTTAGACTAATCTCTGGGACCATGTTCAGTTTTCTGTATGTTTGCCTGCTACACACAGTGGGAGACAGAAATTGATTTTGACCAATGGAGAAGTCTAACATGAGTTACAGGATCACCTTTTAGTTAATAGTGATTTGAGTAATAGTACATGTGATTTGAGAGTGGGTTTTTTACTCTTCCTGGTGATAGAAAGCTTTGTCTTTGACTTAGGGTTTGGCAGTTATACTCTGAACGTAAGGTCCCCTCTTTTTTGAATGGGTTGCTTCCTAAACAAGAGTTCATATAGAAGAAAAGTACCCTGAGTTGGCCACATTCTGCCCTAAGTCTGAGCACAGCTTTCCAATTCCCCTGTGTAAGCCGAAGGGAAAGTGGGGCCAGGACTATGTGTTTGTTCCCTTAGCAAGTCTGTCAGGCTGCTTACAAACACACAGGAGGGCTGACTTAATTCCTCAGACCTGGCTTCAGGACTGCAGCCTGGCTAAGCAACTATGGATCACAAGAAGGGGGTAGAAGGAGATGCAATAGGTGACAAAAGTGGCTGGTTTTCAAAGACTATGGTGTGCAGTTTTTCAAACGTTTTAAATTTGTACTATGCACCTCTCTTGTTATTTCCCTCACCACTGTAGCCAATGGCACTCCTTTTAGTTTTGCCATTTAACATTATCTTAGGCCTTTGCTTCTCCTTTGACTTCACACAAGGGCAGTTTAATTTTAAAAGAAAACAGCATTTGGAAGCAGTCCTGTAACTTTCAGGTTAACTGTCTGGCACAAAGTCAGGCTCAACTGATGTTTGTTGAATGAATGAATGAGTGAATGAATGAATGAAGTGATTCTCTTGAAAAAGTGTCAGAGAAATATTTACTTTCGACATTAAAAAAAACCCCCTCAGGATTATTATCACTTGGAGTATCCTCTATGGATTTGAGAGGGAAATCAGCGAAGCTGATTTTAAAGTCTTTTGAAGAAACTTTCAACCAAAAAGCCATCCAAAACGGAATGTTTTTTTTCCCTCTTGATTCTAATCCCGTGTTTGGATAAAGTGGGCAGTTCAACTCGATGGCTGAAACGCAAGGGGACGTGGATCCTCCGCAGATCCTTCCAGTCACGAATGTAGCTCCGAGCAGGATGGGGTAAGGGCGCCGGGCTTAGGGACCCGCGAGAGGAGCCCGCGCAGGCAGGGCGCCTAGGACTTCCTTCCTGCCCCTGGCCCAGGCGCCGACTGCAGGGCTGCAGAGACGCAGGGACCCGCCGGCCCCCAGGGCGGGCGCGAGGGCCCCGCGCAGGTGTCGGGCCTGTGCGCGGGGTGCGCCGGGGTGCTCGGGGCCTGGGAGACCCGAGAGAGACGTTATTGTTACACTGTAACGAGTCTGATTAACATGCTCCTGACACTTTCTCTTAGTTTCTCCGGCTCCTAGCAACAGTGCACAAAAGCGCGGGATTGTCCCGGGCTCCGCGGGGACACGGGGCAGCCTTTGATCTGCCACCATTACAGCGGGGCAGCGCGACAGGCTCGCAGGCTCCAGGCGGCCCGCGGCGGGCGGGCGGGCGAGCGGGGCGCGCAGTCCCGGCCCCCCGGGCTCCCTCGCCCCCGCCGCCGTCCTGCTCCCGAGGTGCGGGTGGTGCCTCCCCGGCCCGCCACTCTCCGCGCCCCCGCGCCCCGCCCGCTCCGGCTCCGGGACGCGGCCTCGGCGGGTCCCGGCCCCGCGGGCGCACATCCTTCCGACGGGGCGCGCCTCCCGGTCGCCGGGCCCAGGCCGTCGGAAGACGCGAGCAGGGAAACCGAGCAGATCATTTGCAATGAAAAGTGCACAAAGTGAGGGCGCGAGCGACAAACAAATCCTCAAAGGCTTTCTGAAGCAAATTTTAAAAAATAAATTGCGCAGGTTTCCGTCCGCTTAGCTGAAACTCAGTTGGATCGGCGGCAAACGACCACAAAAGGCGCTGACGACAACTTCAGTTCTGTCCCACTCGGCACTTTGTATCTGGCGATTGTTACTGACTTGGAAGGAAGCACACCAGCAAATAATTGCTGGAATGTAAACAAACTAACCTCCACCAACACCCGTCCCAAAACAGCAAAAGGCTACCCGTTTCCACCGCGCACGGTTTTGGTACCGAGTTAGCTATTTGAAAGTAATTCATTTTCCATTTTGTTGGCTTTCTTAGCCTCCCGTCCCCACTCCGATTTAAAATAAAGCGCGTAAAGGAAGACTAAGGTTGGAACATTTAAATGCAGAGCCCTGCTAATTACTTTCCCCAAAAGTTGTCATGTGGAAACCTCGCGGGGGGTCGGGTCTCCGGGCTGGGAGGACAGTGTCTCAAGCCAGGAGGACAAGCTCGCGGTTACACACCGGTCCAGTGTTTCTTGCCAACATATATGTGCAGAAGATCCTGCCGGTAATCTTATAACCTATTTTGTACCATCAATTGTCTTTTAAGTAGTGGAGGTAAAAATAAAAATAAAACCGGAAGACATTTAGTTTTCCAAGACAAACGGAAACCATAAAAGCAGAATGTCCTTCATATAAAAACATGTATTCTTTTTTTCTTCTTTTAAGACATCATTAGAAAATTCAACGCTCCCAATGAAGGTCAGTTTCCCGAACTCGGGCGGAACTACTGGGTTTATGTGCAAATGACACTAATAACACATATATTTTAGAAGAGAAAAAAAAAAAACCCGTACATAGTCTGCCCCATTTACACAGCAGAATAAGCCAGGCAACGAGTTACTTTCAAATTCAAATCGGAGGCGGTGAAGTCTTCTATCTTGAGGACGCTTTCGCAGCCGGTCCCTGGAGGAGGGCCGGGCAGCCCGCGGTCCCACGCTTGGAGACCTGACACAGCAGCACTGGCTGCGCGGGGACTTCCCAGCTTGTGCTCCTGGGACCGGCCCGACTCCCTTGGGGTACCCCTCACCGTTTCAATAAAACATGGTTGTACTGATATAGTCCTCTATACATTAAAATGAGGTTGTCACAGATTGTCATTAAGACCTCAGTAAAACAATGAAGACATTATCGGGCACCCCCCTCAGGCAAGGTATTAGGGGAATAAAACAACCTACACCACACGGGTCCTATTGAGATTAATGAAAAAATTATGCAAAAGAAAAAAATCTCAATATCATTTTCCTGTGACAGGGCTTTGCATACAGTTTTTTTTGCCTTGCACCTGATGATTTATGAAACTAATCTACGGTGATCACCACTGATGTTCTCAATTCAATCTTGTCCTGGCTCATTTTCTAAGTAATTGTTTCTCATTAGTTCTGATAATGTTTTAATAGTGTTACCCATAATTTAGCCCCCAAGAATTAATAACAGGGGGGTGATATGGCGAAGTGGCTTGTGATGAGCTACACAAAACATGAACAGGTATGTTTTTTAATTAATCAGATTCTTGCAAGGTCCTCTTTTTGTGTCCACTCGTGGCCGGGAGGAATTCCCCAGGCTGGGCATTCTCATCGTGCCAGGAGGGGGCAGCTCACCCAGCCCTCCTCCCCTGTGGGGCCTTCCCCACCCACGGTACCAGACATGCAGGTGGGAAGATAGTGGCCATGCCTTTTGTCTTCCAGCACCTCCATGTTCTGGAGGCATAACGGGTCTCTCACCCTGACTAAAACCTCCTCTGGGCCCTTTTAGGCTCACAGAGTGAGACCTTGGTCCAAATTTCCAGCTCCAGCGGGTCCCAGTGTCACGACCCTACCGTAATTGGGAACATAGGGTTATGAGGAAGATGGTAAGTCTGACACCTAGGGCGATTTAAACAAGGTGTTTTGTTTGAACAGAGTGCAGTTTGAGGTAAAGGGTGTGGAGATCAGTCCAAAAAGGTCAGGGGTGTGGGGGTGATGGGGGTCAGGAATCCTGGTGAGGGCCAGGCTTGCAGCACTACCCAGACGTCTTGCTGAGGGGACTGCTTTTCCTGGGCTCCAAATGCCTTCACCCGCAGCATCTGAGGTTCCGTCAGAGGGAGGGCTTGGCTCTGGGTGAGCCCATAGCCTGAAGAGCCCCACCTGTAGGATTTGGGGGTTGCCTGTGTAACTGGGATGGAGACTGGAACATCTGAGTGTCATCTTGTAAATTCCGGATGGGTCACCTGGACCAACACAAGAGGATGGGCATGGGAGCTGCGTTGAAGGGAGGGCTGCCTGTAGGGAAGTGTGAAGGAAAGCTTTTATTTTCTTCTTCTGTTTAACAGAGCTCCAGCTTTTGCTTCTAACACCCTGAGGGTGTGTGTGTATAGGACAGGCCAGAATGAGCAGGGCCTCTCTTTGCCTGCTGCCCAGTTCTCCTGGGTCTCTGGGTTCTAAGCAGACGGGTCCGACTGCACGGACAGTACGGTCCTGGATTACCCCAGGGCACTCCTGACATCAGCCCAGGTGGCACAGCTGTAACAGTGGGGCTCGGGTGACTTCTTCTCCAGCAACTGCCACCCCACTGGCCCTGTCCGCAGTCCTGAAGCCCAGTTTGGTGGGAGGCCAGTCATCTTCTAAGTGGGCTGCGATACCATGCAGGGATGGGGCTCTCCCACCTTCCATTTGGGCCAACTCTGGGATGGCACCGGGTGAAGGATGGCAAGGCTCTCATGAGGGATTAACCCAGCACACCCAGGAGGGGACATGTGCTGCCCAAGCCCAGCCCAGCACATCCCATCTCAATTTAAGAGCTGTCTCCTTGGAGTCCATGTGTCTGGGCATATTAGTTGGTCTCTCAAGAATTTATTTCCCCAGAACCCTCCTGCCTGGACCAGGTTCCTTCAGCATGCCTCTTTGAACTGGATTGCCTCCTTCCTGGCGAGAGCTGGTGTTGCATGACACCACGTGGGCCTCTTCCACTTTGCTTTGGTTCCATGGGGCCTTCCTTGGATGTTACCTTCAACTCTACTCGCCTTGTGGCTTCCTGTGGGGGCACTGGGAGAGGAAGGGGGAAAGCAGACCCCTGTGGGGCACATGGTAAGGGCCACTGAGGAAATAAGCAAAAAGGGCATAGGAGAAGTGAAAAATGAAAATAAAAACAACTGTTTTCTATTTACAGATTTAAATAAACAGAACAGCCTTCCCTGCAGTGTTTGTCTAAGAGAAGCAGCCTTGCTGCTGTGTAGGTCATGAAAAGGTTGGTGTAGAGTTTAAAACTTCCCATTCTGTTAATTTCTTAAAGAACAGTCGTCCAGAGTCTCAACACAAAAGCTCATGATTTAATGAGGAGCAGAAACAAAATCTCTGATTGTTGGTGTTTCAAATTTCATTGGCGTCCTCTGGCAAACACAAGTTGATCCTTCGAAGCTCAATACCCTTTAGCCTTCAATATAAGAGCACATGCTGAATAGGGAAGAATGGCTGGTTGTTATGTTTATTTACCCTTACTACAAGCTGGGTTAACCTCTTCAAAACAGCCTTACTAAGCCCGTTAACCACACCACCCATACGACCTGCAGCAGCATCTCTAATGTGATGCAAATCTCGCAGGGGACCATATGCACCAGCTCCGCTGCATTGTGTCTTCTTAGAGGCTACAAGTTTATTGCTGAGGGGGCCCTGTCCTGGCCATACATTTACAGGGGAAATGGCCTCAATGGCAAACAGTTAAACGGGGAAATAAAGGGGGAGAATGGATGGTCTTGTGTTTCTGAACATTTATTTTTTAATTGCTGGTAACGGTTGACCTAAAGCATTCACCCAGGATGACGGCTTTCACAGTCATCACCTAGCGGTTCACAGATAAGGATGTTTCATTCCGGACGATGGAGGTTAACAGTAATCAGTTTTGAAGACTTATTTTTAGAAGGTATCTCTATAAACCAATATGATATGTAACTTTTCTATGCCATCTCTGTTGTTTTATCAGATTACTAGTGAAATAAACATGACCCCTTCATTTAGTTATTTTTTAACGGCCTGGCGTTCCTTAAAATTCTTTTGGTGTTGAGTGAAAAAATGAACAATGTGGGAAACATCTAACATACTCACGTGAGGACTATAGGCGGTATATGTATTTAGGAAAAGTCTGTTTCAATAAAGACCTAACTTCTCATAGCCCATCTTTCCACATTATTTTTTCTCCCCATGAAATCATAAGTCCATATTTATAACACGTTAGTGAAAAATAAAGTCCTAAGTTTGGAACAAGAAAGAAGAAAATTCATTTTTAGAAGAGTAACTGGCTAGTGAGATACCAAATAAAAAAAATTGTGATTAATATGAACTGCAAATGGAGAAAGGTTCTAATCTGGCATACTAACAAGTTGCCTAGAGTATTATGGTTTGTCTTTAAGAAACCCACTGTATATGTTCAGCCCACCTGATGAGAGCTTCATTTAACAGATCATTTTTCCTTGATGGATGTGGCAAGTGTAACAATGTTCTGGGCTTGCTTCAGTAATGGCATGTCGATCATACTCCCTCGGAAAGTAAAGGCTCCCTGGAAAACAGAGAATACAAACTTCCTAAAAGAATGCTTGGAAATTATAGGCTTCCTTTCTGTGCACACTTGTACAACAAGAACATTTTAGATTCCACCTGAATTATACTGACTTTTCTACCCAACTTTTAAGAAAGCCAAAGTAAATTACAGGGGAAAGATTTCTTTTTTCTTCCTAAAAAGGGAAAACAAAAAACCTTCAGCATTTTAATGTACAGGAAAACATCAGACACAAGATATTGGAAACTATTCATTTAACTCTTGAAATCAAGCAGAAAACAACTGTGGAAGAAACATGTAAATCCTTCCTTAAATGGTTTTTGAAATATTGCACAAAACTTTAAAAACAGTAATATACTCTGGCAACTGATGATCATTTGAAAAAATAATTATATGATCAGTTTATTGGCAAAATGCTTCCTTCTTGCTGTAACATAATTGCAGGGTAACATTATCATGTGATGAGAAAATGTAAGGTAGGATTGTACTGAGGAAAGAGATCCTCTGTTGGTGCACTTCAAGAGGATTAGCATGACAAGGGCCACGAGTCCCGGCAAAGAAATCAGTTTGTAGAATGGTGGGATTGGAAGGAATCTCTGAGATCTCCTGGTTTATCCCCATTTTATAGATTCATTTTTTTTTAACCTTTTGCGAGTACTTATTGAATGTGTCATGTGATCTAGGTCCTGTTCTAGAATGAGGACACTGAGGCCCAGAGTAGTTAAGTGATTTTTCCAAGATCATATAATTAGGAAAAGTTAGACCTGGGGCTAATACTTGGGTCTCAAAATCTCAAGCTTCAGCAGAGACTCCCGTATCATAAGAGGGTGGTTTCTTCTCATAAGTACATCGGAAAAAGAAAAATGCACAGAAGGCAGTATGCCCAAAATTTGAGAAAATGTAAGGTAGGATTGTACTGAGGAAAGAGATTCCTGTTGGTGCACTTAAAGAAGAGGATTAGCATGACAAGGGCCATGAGTTCTGGCAAGGAAAAACCAATCAGTTTGTAGAATGGTTATTTATGTTCTCCTAATCACTTCTTTCTGAGGTTTATAATCATAGCTCTTAATTCTCCTTTCCTCTACCTGCCAGCAAGGATGCTGGTGTGAGTTGGGGAGCAGGTGGCTTTTCGAGACCTAGAGGTGGAGTGGAACAATCATAATCCTTGTTAATGATCCATTTGTATATATCACTGTCCATTTCTGGACTTCCTAAATACCACCTCTTAAAAGTCAATGTTGTCATTATTCAGGACTTCTGGGATGGGTCTCCTGGGCTTTCTGGAACTTCTCATTTCCCATAATAGTATAAGTCATACATAGGATGGAGATACAACAAATTGGCAGGGAATCCTTAGCAATGACTTTGGAATTTATTTTTCAATTAAGGGAAAGACTTAAAAGCCACTGAGATTAGAATTTTCACCAGTGGTAGCTGATCTTCTCAGTTTTACTATGATAAATCTGATTCATATGAACACCTGTGTGACCTAAAACCTGGTACTGTGAGGCATTTTCTAATCCTCTCATTTTTTTACTATTTGTACCTCCAGATAGGGCTCTGCCCAGTTTCATTCAGCATACAGCTAACTTTGGTCATCTCTGTGACCATGATGAACTTCACAAATTTGGTTAGAAGTTCCAAGGATGTTCCATCGATTAACATGAATGTGAAATCAGAGCGTGGGACTCATGCTGTTTTACAAGGCAATAGTCTACTTTTCTTGTTGGAGTAAATGATGAAGACCAAAGGCCTCCTGGTTATCCACCCACCAAGTGGATTATGGCCCTGTAAAACAGCACATCTGTCCTGCTAAGGCTTAAATAATACTCTGGAGAGATGAAATTAGCACAGATGCACATGAAATCAAAACAATGCACAGAAAATCAAAATGACCGTTTGGGTCTATGCCATGTTCCTCGAATCTGCTTTGGGTTCCACGTGCATAACAGGGATGGAAAATATTTCATGTAGTTTCTCAAGACAGGGAGATCATTTCTATGGTGGCAGGTTTTGCTTGACTTCCTTTAATTAGCTTAAGCTGGAAAACAAAATTCACCATTTTTATTTCTTCCTTCCTCTGCAAAATGAGGATTTTAGTATTAAGAACTAGTCTGCAGAATATGAATATCCTCCTTCTTTCAGGCTTATAACTTATAACATGGTTGGTTTTTTTTAACATATGGATTTCCATATGAAATGTGAATGGTTTCTTGGTCAGGATTTGGAGAAGCAGTTGTCAAGAGCTACTTGGGATTGGCAGGGGAGTGGGAGTAGGGGCTGAGACAGCCCTTCGTGCATGATTTCAGACAAGTTTCAGTTTCCCAGCCCAGTGCTTTCTGGAGAAATTGGCATACTATTTCAAAAAGTACAGGGCACTTCCATCAACTTGAAGATTCAGACTGTAATTTGGCTTTAAATGCCTTTAAATAGTAACTTATTCATGGTTAACTACCTCAACAACCACAACTACAACAATAATAATAGCTATAATTTTTTGAGCAGTTGCTAGTCTAGGGACTGTGCCTGACACTTGACATGCTTTATTTCATGTAATGCCCATAACACTATGGGGGTAGATACTATTACCAATTCCCATTAAAAATTTCTTCTTTTTAATTGTAGTAAAAACACATAACCTAAAGTGTACCATCTTAACCACTTCTAAGTTCAGTAGTGTTTACAGTTCAGTAGTGTTAAGTATATTCACATCGTTGTGCAACAGATCTCCGTAAGTTTTCACCTTGCAAATCTGAAATTCCATACCCATTAAACAACTATTTCCCATCCCTCTCTTCCGATCCCTGGCAGCCACATATTTCTGCTTTCTGTTTCTATGAGTTTGTATCCATTCCCATTTCACATCTGAGGAAACTAAGGCACAAAAAGCTTAAGAAATTATATATGTCTTCCCTGTAGCTGGTAATTACGGAATTGGGACAAAACCTGGCTCTATCTGATCCAAAGTCTGTGCTCCAGGCTTATATCCGAGGCTTACTGATACAAAAGTATTCTCTTAATGGGTTCCCTGACCACCTAAAATCAGAACCATCTGAGAGGGAGAGCAGGGGAGCAGGGAGGTGACTTGTTAAAATGCAGATTTCTGGGCCCAGTCCTACATGGTTTGATGCAAGAGGCCTTGGGGTTGGCCAGGAACCCTGTGGTGATTTCAAAGCACATTCAAGTTTGAGAACCTCTGGGTTTTAGCTGCCGTTCATAGAAGTGGTCAGGTCAGCTTTGATAGGGGTATGACTCAACACTTGCCCTCAAGAAACTTACAGTTTGCTGGAGGAAACGAGGAAGAAAAGCAACAGGGGCATAAAATGCAAAAAGAATCAGAGAAAAGGCCAGTGTGATGAGCACACAATGATCTGAAGGTCTGAATGACTGCCTTTCTTTTCTAATCAGAATCGTCTTTACCAGTTTGCACTGTTCACACAGATATGATATTGTGTACCTAGGACATGTCATGCATTCCCTGCTAGAGTTGCCATGGAGTACCATACACAATGGGGCTTTTATTCAACAATTACCTATTCAATTATTTGTTGTAATAAATCACTAGTCAACCACTTTAGCACATTTTACTATAGACACGTCTGTGGTTTCAAACTCTTGGAAGCAAAGGGCAGTATCAGCTTAGCATACGTGTTATCTGCATAAGGAAACAATTACTATTGGGCTGTAGTTTTTCTTAGACATGATCATTGCCTCGTCGTAAGATAGGCACTGAAATTAAATGAACTTCATGAGACTGAAGACTTTTCCATGGAGGAGAATCTGAGTTATAATTTGATGGCAAAAGTACTGATGATGACGATGGCGGCAGATGACTAGTAGTCACGTCTATGTGAAATATTAATAAATTTTGAATTCCTGGTACTTAATACTTGAGAATTTTTTTCTCCATAATACTAAAAGAGTAACTTACTAAATGGATCTAATTCTTGTCCTACTTACTTAATTTCCAAATAACTTTTTTGGGCCTTCAGGGAGTTCTCTCTGGCATTCTGATGATGGTGCTGCTGTCAGCTCTAATGATAATATTTGAGTACAGTCCTCCTTTTTCAGGGTGACAGTCTTTTCCTCTATGATCATAAGTCTTATGCCCAGTGAATTCATAATTTTTTTTTCTCCTAACAGTTCCCAGTGAATTCTTCAGACCTTTAGTCAGCGTTGGCCATTATGGAATTGCTCTTCCAGGCTTGGCCGTGCCCTCTGCTTGCTAGATCTCTCAGGCCCAGCCGAGCCCTCCTGCAATACATCTCTTGCTTACTCACAAAGTCAACTGCTCCTTGACAGCCCTCCAAATGGGGGCAGGTGATGCTCTTGCAGAGACGCTCTGAGACATGGCCACCATGTCATTCTTTCTTTTCCACTGTCAACCTGTCACACATGGAGACTCCTTGGGCAGGCCCCAGTGTGGCCTTGGTCCCCTCCCAGTTCTGTGGTGATGTTCCTTGTAAGGATGTCAGTTTGGTGGCCAGGCCTCCACAGCTCACTGGGGAGCACATCAGGCTCCTAGGCTGCCTAACAGAGGTCTCGCTGAGAGTGCTGGGCCACTTCCTGGGGAAGTGCCCCTTCCTAATTGGGATCATGCTGTTATCTTTCTAAAACATTGGATAGGATCATTCGTTCGCTTAAGCCCTGCTTTGGCTCCCTTTGGATTACAGAATCAAGTGCCATCTCCTTAGTTGGGACCCCAAGGCTCCCCATGGTGATACCAGGCCTTGCTTCTACTCTCAGCTCTTCCCCACACTCTCTGTTCTCTGCTCTGAAGGACCTTTCCCTGGCTGGCCAGCAAACTCCGCCTTATGCTTGAAGATGTCAGATTGTCAGATGTCACATCTGTGAAGTGTTTCTTGCCTTCCCTAAGAGGGCTAATCTCTCTCCTTCCTTTCCTTGTACAGCTCCCCATTATAGCCCTTATTACACTCTATTGTAATTATTTGTTTACAGTAATTTGGTGTCTTACTATGACATGACGCCCTTGATGGCAG